TAAGTGTTGGGCTGCTAACTAAAATGTTGGCACTTTGAACCCACCAGCCCCTGCTTGGAAGAAAGATGAAGCAGTCTGCTTCCATAAGGATTTACAGCCTCAAAATCCTCAGGAGAAGTTCTATCCTATAGGTCACTGAGTTGGACTTGACTCTACAGTAGTGGATTGTTTTTTTTACAATAGCTGTTGATGTGGCACATAAGATAAGCACTGGACTGGTAACCTGAAGGTCGGCAGTCAAACCTACCAGCCAGTCTCAGAAGCCCTCACTATGAGTCAGAACTGACTCAATGGCACACAGCAAGATTAAATAAAGCAAAAAAATGAAACTAACCAATGTTGGTGGGGATGTGAGGAAATTGGTACCCTAATCCATTGCTGGTAGGAATGCAAAATAGTATAGACATTGTGGGAAACACTGTGTCCATTTCTCAAAAACTAAAAATAGAACTACCATGTTGTTGTTCAGTGCTGTGGAGTCGATTCTGAAGCATAACAACCCTGTTTAGTGTTTCAAAGGTGTGATTGGTAGGTTTGAACCACAGACCTTGTGGTTCAAAACTACCATATAACTCAGCAATTCCACATATACCCAAAAGACCTGAAAGCAGACGTTCAGTGACTTGTAAATTAGTGTTGATTGCAGCACTATTCACAATAGCCAAAAGGTAAATGCAACCTAAATGCCCATCTACAGATGAATGGATGAACCAATGTGGTCCATACATACAGTGGAATACTATGCAGTCAGTAAGAAGACTGGAGTCTTGATATTTGCTACAAAATGGATGGAACTGAGTGAGATGTCAATCACAAATGGCAAATATAGTATGACCTCAGTTATATAAAAAGACAAGAACAGGCATGGGATGCCGTGATTCAGCTGTGAATCACTTAACTGTATAAAGTTTGAAACTCTCTGGAATGAGGATAAATGAGCAAAAGTAGAAAGGGGGACCTCACTACCGTCAAAGAAGAGCCAGTAATGGAGTGTATCTTTTGGAACCTAAGATCCCTGCTCATTGAAATTCCTGTATCCAGGAACAGAAGGCTGTGGCTCTGGAGCCGTGGCAGACCAGCAGCACCACCACGAGCCAAGGGATTTCCCGCCCCACAGGAAGTAAACCTGAGTGAGTCTGGTCAGGAGGCATCTTGCTTCCAGAGTGGGGTGCCTCCAGGTACTTGGGGGGAGCTAGGTTTGTTGACCAATGGAGCAAGTACCAAGTGCCTTCTAGCTGAGTTGCTGTGGAGTGGTGGACATTTACTGGCAGCCTTAAAAGAGCTTTGTAATACTGGCCGGGCAGAGGTCTGCCTGTGAGCATGGATGAAGAGAGGCCATCCTTATCCGGACTGTGCTCTGAGCATTTCTGACCCAGACTTGTAACCAGTTCACTTTCCTAATCTACCACTCGTCTATTACTTTGTCATGCTGTGGTGGTTTGCCTGTTGCTGTGATGCTGGAAACGCTGTCACCAGTATTTTAAACACCAGCAGAGTTACCCATGGTGGACAGGTCTCAGCTAAGCATCCAGCTGAAGACAGACTACAAGACAGACTAGACTACTTCCAAATAGTTATTGAAAACTTTATGAATAGCAGTGGAGAGCTGTCAACACAAACATTGCATATTGAAACATGATGAAGAGCACAATAATGTCAGATATAATGCTGGAAGATGAGACCCTCCAGTTGGAAGACACTCAAAATATGACAGGGGAAGCCGCCTCTTCAAAGTAGAGTTGCCCATGATAATGAAAATGGAGTAAAACCTTCAGGACATTCATTTGCTGATGAGGCACAACCAAAAACGAAGAGAAACAGCTGTAAACATCCATTAATAATCTGAACATGAATGTACTATGACTCTAAGAAGACTGGAAATTGATAAAAATGAAATGAATGCATAGATTGAGATCCATTAGTGAGCCGAAATGGACTGGTGTTAGCCATTATGAATCTGACATGGTTTACAATGTCGGAATGACAAATAGAGGAGGAATGGAGTCACATTCATCATCAAAAAGAACATATGAAGATCTGTCTTGAAATACAATGCTGTCTGTGATAGGACAATATTCATACGCTTACAAGAAAGACCAGTTAACCATTATTATTCAAATTTATGCACAAACCACTAAAGTCAGTGAAGATGAAATGGAAGAATTCTACCAATGTCTTCAGCTGACATTGATCAAATATGCACTCAAGATGTATTATTATTGGCGATTGGAATGCAAAGGTTGGAAACAAAGAGGATGTATCAGTAGGTGGAAAATATGACCTTGGTGATAGAATCAATGCTAGATATTGCATGATGGAATTCTGCAAGACCAAGGACTTCTTCATAGCAAATACCTTTTTTAAACAACATAAAAGACGACTAGGTCTCACCAGGTGGAATACACAGAAATCAAATTGATTACATCTGTGGAAAGAAGACGGTAGAAAAGTTAAATTATCATCAGCCAAAACAAGGCCAGGGACAGTCTGTGGAACTTGCTCATATTCAAGCTCAAGCTCAAGCTGAAGAAAACTAAAACAAGTCCACAAGAGTCAAAATATGACCTTGAACATACCTACCTGAATTTAGGGATCATCTAAAGACCAAAGACCAGAGAGTTGTGGGATGACATCAAGAACATCCTACAGGAAGACAGCAAAAGGTCATTAACACAACAAGAAAGAAGGGCAAGACCAAACTGGATGTCAGAAGAGATTCTTCAGTGTAGAAATGCCAAAGAAAATGGAAGAACTGAGGGAAACAAAAAAGCTGAATAGAAAGTTTCAAAAGGCAGCTCGAGAAAACAGTCAAATATAAAGAAATGTGCAGATCCGGAGTTAGAAACCCAAAAGGGAAGTACACCCTCAGCAGTTCTCAAGCTGAGAGAACTGGATAAAAAATTTAAGCCTTAACTTGCAATACTGAACGACTCTATAGGCAAAGTCTTCAATGAGGCAGAAAGCATCAAGAGAAGATGGCAGTATTACACAGAATCACTGTACCAAAAAGAAATGGTAGATGTTCAACTATTTCAAGAAAAGGTAGCACATGATCCAAGAGCCAATGATTCTGACGGAAGAAGTCCAGGGTGCACTGAAAGCATTGGCAAAGAACAAGGCGCTTGGAATTGATGGAATACAAACTGAAATCTTTCAACAAACTGATGCAGCCCTGGAGGCACTCAGTCACCAAGAAATATGGACGACAACTACCTGGCCAACTGACTGGAAGAAATCCATATTTACACTCATTCCAAAGAGAGGTGACCCAACAGAATGTAGAAACCATCAGACAGTATCATTAATATCACACCCAAGTAAAATTTTGTTAAAGATTAAAAAAAAAAAAACAGCTGCAACCATACACTGACATTGAACTTCCAAAGATTCAAGCCACAGTCAGAAGAGGATGAAGAATAAGGGATTATCAATGCTGGCATCAGGTGGATCTTGGCTGGAAGCAAAGAATACCAAAACAATGTTTACCTGTGCTTTATTGACTACGCAAAGCTTGTGGATCACAAGCTATGGACAATACTGCGGAGAATTGAATATTCCGAAACACTTAACTGTACTCATGAGGAACCTGTACATGCACCAACAGACAGTTGTTCAAACAGAACAAGAGAACACTGAATGGTTTAAAATTAAAGTGTGTGCATGGTTGTACTTTTTCACCATACTTATTCAATCTGTATGGTGAGCAAATAATCTGAAAAGTTGGGTATTAAGAATAGCATGTTATCAGGATTGAAGGATGACTCAGTAACAGCCTGCAATATGCAGATGATACAACCTTGCTTGCTGACAGGGAAGAGGACATAATATACGGGTGAAAATCAAAGACCACAACCTTCATATGGGTCGCACCTCAATGCAAAACAAAAATCCTCACCTCTGGGCCAATAAATAACATCTGCATAAGTGGAAAAAAGACTGGAGTTGTCAAAGGCTTCATTTTGCTCAGAACAGACACCAGCACTTAGCAGTCAAGAAATTAAACATACTGCACAAGGCAAACCTGCTGCACAAGACCACTTTAAAGCATTGAAGAGCAGAGATATCAGTTTGAGGAGTAAGGTGTCCCTGACCCAAGTCACGGTATTTTCAATAACCTCATACGCATGTGAAAGTTGGACAGTGAATAAGGAAGACCATAGAATTGATGCATTTGAGTTATACTGAAAGTACCATGGACTGCCAAAAGAACAAACCAATCTGTGTTGGAAAAAGTACAACCAGAATGCTCCTCAGAAGCAAGTATGGCCAGACATTATCTCTCATACTTCAGACACATTACCAGAAGGAACAGTCTCTGGAGAAGGATATCATGTTTGGTAAAGTGGAGGGTCGGAGAAAAAAAGAGGAAGACCCTTACAAGATGGACTGGCACAGTGTTATTAGTAGCAATGGGCTCACATGTAGCAAAAATTGTGAGGATTGCACAGGACCAGGCAATGTATTATTTTGTTGTGCAAAGGGTCACCATGAGTCGGTGTCAACTCGGTGGTATCTAAGTGTAACAACTTTCCTAATAAACCTCTTAAATTCCAATACGGTGCCTGAGTTCTGTGTGACCGTTGCAACAAATTACTGAAACCAGCTGAGTAAAGAGGCTATGAGAATAATGGGTGTCGTATTTTTTTTAGGGATATTTTTTCCCTTGTTTCCTCCAAGATAGCAGGGATAGAAAGAAAACAATATAAAAGCACAGAAAAAGAAAAATTTCCTACACACTCCTTACACTCCATATTCCATCAAGATGAAGTTTATTTATCATATACACAAGTCATGCCAAATAATTGAGAAAATGCTATTTACATAAAATAGATTAAAAATACATAGTATTTGTATTTTAATACAATAACAGGGTCCCAGAATTCAAACTAGTTAGTCTGATTTCAGAGTTTGCATTATATAGTTATTTACTCTGCTACAAAGGACTATAGTGGAGGTAAACTTTGGCAGCATATTTCCGAAGTGTCAAATATTAATGATTTTCATATACACGGTTTAGCATCTGTAGAGGAAGATACAATTTCTTCAGCACATGTGCCAATTTCTGAGTCTTCCACTGCAGAATCTTCACCAGTTTCCTCTTCAGACTCAAAATCCTGACTATCCGATGATTCATAGTTATCCAGAGGTTCATGAGTCAGTCTCTTTTAAAGAATAAACCAATAATTTAATGTAAAAATTTAAAACCCAAGTCCATTATCAGCATTCTGATATAGCTGACCCTCAGTGTTGTAATGAGGTGTTTATTGCCATACTCAACTAAATGTATTTACAAGAAGTCAAGTGTTACAGCAAAGTGTCTACCATGTTCAATCCTGTTTCAGGAGAGTCCGTTTTTAATAATTAGCAAAGGTTTTTGAAGCACTGAAATGCTTTCAGAATACCATTTAAATCAGTATTTCTCAATCTATCTGCAGTGAAGGGCCTGGTTTTTGAATTACCAATGTACTGGGAACCAATCCTTTTAGAGCATTTAACAGTGCATCTACTGAACTTCTCCATGAAAACATCAAGCATTAATTCTACATAGTTCTAAAATGTTAAGCAATAACTCTGTACATGCAATTCTGATTTGGAAAACATTCTTTCCATCATCAACATGGAATTTTTACAAACATGACTAACTCAGGACCTATTTTAGGCATGACTAGAGTGTGGCTCTGTGTAAGTATTAGACTACAAGCTTCGTTAGAACTGTAAGGTCAGAGGTTTAAACTCAACAGCCACTCCGCAGAAACTCTATATAGGGTTGTTATGAGTCAGAAATGACTTGATGGCACTTAACAACAACAAGTGAAGTAACAAAGGAATTCTGGTAGTGTAGTGGGTCATGAATTTGATTGCTAACCACAAGGTTATCAGTTCAAATCTACCAGCCACTCCATGGGCGAGACTTACTGCTCCCGTAAAGATTTACAACCTCAAAAACCCTATATGGGGTCACTCACTATGAGCCAGAACTGACTTGATGGCACACCACTACCACCACCAGTGAAAGTAACAAGGATTCTGATGATGTAGCAAGTTATGCATTAGGGTGCTAACCAAAGGACCAGTAGTTCAAACCCACCAGCCACTCTGTGGAAAATAAGGCTGCCCACTCCTGTAAGGAGTTTTGAAAACCCTACGGACCATTTCTCCTCTGTCTTACAGGGTGGCTATGAGTCAGAATCAACGGCAGTAGGTTTGGATTTTTGGTTATTGTGGTTAATAGTGACCAGATTTATTCTTATTAACACATTTATGTTTTAAAAAGATAAAACTTTCAAATTTTTAAAACACCAAATAATAGTAAAGTCACACTAAAATTAAAACCGCTTTGAAATATGTCAACTACAAAATAGAATTTTCCATATATTCTTCCATTTTTCATATAAAAGTTGATTCCTTTTTATAAATCTATAAGAAAATAGATTTCTATTGCTTCATAAAAGTAAACAACAGAGATCAAGTCTAAATGGGAGAGAGGTAAACAGTGATAAATACACAACCTTGGAACAACAGTGTTCAGTGTGTAGATACATGGACAGAGACAAATGTTAAATATGTATGGGAGTAAGAGTAGGATATATATACATATCTACATATTCCACAAATACATACGAGTTTGAAAGAGGATATTTGTACATGGGTAACCACAGGGAGGAACTGTTGTTAAATGGAGGGAATTGAAATCACTGAGATGAACATAGTGTATGATTTGTTGGTAAAACTAATGATCTTGTCTATAAATCTTCAGTCAATTCACAGTAAAGTTTTTTTTAACACGCCTGTCCCCTAAATGTCAGTTATTGAGTTTTTACTACATGTGAGGAACGCCTCTCTATATTTTTATATTATATATTTCCATACATTATAACTTATTTCTCATAACAAACTCTGGTATAGGTTCTATTATTCTTATTTTATAGATAAGGAAAATAAAGCCAAGAAAATAACCTACTTTACTTTATGGTGCAAGGTACGGAGTTAAGACTCAAACCCAGAAAATATTATTCCAAAGCTAAAACACTGATACTATACTGCTTCAGTTTCACAGAAAAACAGATGATCTTGAATCAAATGAATATTAAAAATACCAACCTCTATCACCTCTGCCATATACTGTACATGTTCTGCCACTTCTGCCAATTCTTTATTCTCTTTTTTCAGGCGGGCAATTTCATTGTCCTTTTCCTCAATTTCTTTATGAAGCTATATAAAATAAATAAAGTACATATTCCTTAGATAACTATGCTGTTGTAAGCTAAACCTTAGGCCACCAGCATATAATAATTGATAAAAGTTCCTAACACAAGGGTGATCTCTATGTCTCTCAACACAGTAGGCTTTTTTGTGAAAGAACTCTGGTAACAAGAGCAGTCTTCCTAATTATTCTTTTCTTACGTTAACAGTAAAGAGCCCTGTAGTGTAGTAGGTTAAGCAATGGGCTGCTGACTGCAAGGTCAGTGATTCAAACCCACCACAGCCACTCCACAGGAAAAAGACGAGGCTGTCTGCTCTCATACCTTTATAGTCTTGGAAACCCTAATGTGTAGTTCTACCATTTTCCAATGGGGTTGCTGTAAGTTGGAACTAACTCGATTGAAATGGTAGGCCAGCATTAAAGCTAGTTTATACTGTTCTAATTAAATATGCTAAGCAGCAGACGAAAAACAATCCTGGAATTTAAAAAACTGTCACAAATAGTTAAAATCAGTACATACTTTCTCATTTTCCTTAAGTGTGTCATAGAGAGCCTTCCTCCGTTTTTCTGCTACTTCTTTCCAATATTGAGAAGATGGATTTTCTGAAATACATGAACGATTTACATGAAGGTATGTTACATGCTACTGTAAAAATGTAGTTTTTATTAAAAAAAATAAATTAAATTCCAATCTTACTCAGTACTGTCCATGATTTAGTCACAATCATTTTTAGAAGATCAGAATCAGAAAAAAATCAGTATTTTTTTTTCTATTTTACTTTTTTCAAAATTTTATTTTTAAAGACTTTAATCCTTCAGAAGAGTTGTAACAAATATACAATAAATAAACATTATCTTTCACCTAAATTAATGAAAAGAAAATTCTACATTGCTTTCTGTGTTTTCTTGTTTTATGTGTGTTTAATCTGAAAAGCCCAGATCAGTTGTTTTGTACTCTGTCCTTATATTTGGATTTGCCTGTTTCCATGATAAGATGTAGCAAAACATGTCTGGCAAGAATACTGTATTTATAAGTTTGTTGTGTCCTTCTCCAGGCATTATCAGGAAGCACCTGATGTCAATTTGTCACAATACTGGAAATGGTAAATTTGATTATCTGGTTAAGAAGATTTCTATCAGATCTCTCCCTTGGAAAGATACCTTTTTCTCTTGGTATTTAAAAACTGAGCTGTGGAATAAAATTTGTAGTCTGTGTGAATATCCAGTCCCATAACCACCTTTCATGCAATTTTAACTATATACATGTATCTTGCTTAATAAATCCATTAATTCTCTAAAGACAGAAAAATGATATTTTTCTACTTATGTAATTCCTTCTACAGTCTGTAGCTGGCATGTTTTGTTAAGAACATTTGTTAAGAACATTTCCCCAATTAAAAATTACTACCAACATGGACTCATATATTCTTTTTTTGTCAAATGTATTACATAGTCCATTCTGGTCATTATTCATTTTAATGCTCAAATTCTCCCAAATATAGTCAGTAAAAACCTGTTCAATTAACTACTATATTCTTTTGACATGTCCATTAGTTTATACTTATACTCCCAATTCAGTTCAATACAGGTTCTTCCTCAGTCCTTATTTGTTATCTGCCTTCACCATATTATGAACCTGGCTCAACATCAACATACTACTCATTTGTCCAATCCTAAAATATACATAAAAGTTTCAGAATTGCTTTATTAATATCATTCTAAGCAAAAAACTTAATAAACATCAAGATTTCTTGCAGTTCTTTTTATGTTTACTTGACTATGGTCAAGTTACATGAACTGAACTTTCTTCTTTTGTGCATTTATGTTAGTAATACAGCATATAGATGAGCTGTTTCTATATTTAACTTTTCTGGGTTTTTTTTTCATCTATCCTTGTTGATTTAATTTTAACCAAACTAAATGTCATGATTTATTCTACAGTATTACCAAAGTCATTATTTCTATTCACTCCATCGCTCCTAATTTTGCATACTAGTCTTACTGCCTAGTAAGCATTTTCCTTACTGACATGCAGGCAACTCAGAATAAACCTAAATGTCACAGTGACCTTATTAACTATGTCAGTTAATTTCTCTAGGTTTTGATTTTCTCCGCAGTTACAACATCAAACAACTTAGGAATAGTACAGAACCTTCCACATTGCTTATAAAACATTATTAGCTTATTTTGATTTCCACTGCCATTCCATTAAAAACTAGCACTTATTATAGGCACAATTCTCATTCATATTATCTTGTCTCTACTCAGTCATGTTTCTATTGGCTTCCTTAACTTCATATTCTGCTGGAATATTTAAATGTCTTTGTTACTTCAAATTTATTCTCTAAACAGCTTTTTTCTATAAAGTCTAGTCCCAGAATGCAAATTCTTACAACGTAATCTAGTACCAGAGCTGCCATATTAATAACTGTACTTTTCAAAAATACAAGGGGCTTCAACCAAAAAGCTCATGGAGAAATGGAATTAAAAGATAAGAGAATTTTCTATGAAATTTTTTAAAGCCCTCTCACAGTTCATCCACATTTGGATTTTAACAAACAAAATGTTCAGATCTGTCCAAATACTAAGAAAATACAAAAACTAAGTGATGTCTCTTATAGTATCCCAAATTAAGAAGCGGTAGGCAGAATCTGTAACAGTATAACAAATAGGCAATATTTGCCTTTTATTAGAATTAAAACTTTAAGGTAAAAGTTGTGTATTTTTACATACCTTTAATCATGAGATCAAATGCTTCTTGAGTGACTCCTCCAAGATTTTTATTTTCGGGCCCAATAATCCCGTCAGAGCTGGAAGTCTTAGATGTTAACTGGCCATTTCCAGGTTTCTTTTTGGATAAGCCTTTAGCCAACTGTAACAGAAATACATGTATCAATCTCATCTATTTTGATTTATTGAATAGGAAAGTTTGGATGTTGTGTATTTATAAATTAAAAGAAGATAATTCATCTATTTTTATTGGATCTCCTTTTTTAAAATTACACTAAAGCTAAACATACTATTTAGGACTTTTATTGAAAGGTGCTATCCTGGATAGAGTTGGGTCTAAAGCTAAGCCGAAATTACTTTTACTGTATTTAAATAATTCAGTACCATGGAAAGGCAATCATTTCAACCTGCCAAAGTCTATACATCCTCATTCACGATCCATCATTTGCAGAGAAGGATAAATGAAAGAATCTAGTATTCTAGTTTCAAAACAGCATTATTACCTTATAGAATAATTTGTCTTAATACATCATTCCAGTATTACTATAGGTCTTTATACAAATTTTGAGCTCTCTAAATAGAAGAATTAAATAAAAACCACTTCTTAAATTATTTCCACATTTCAATGACTTAAGTGTTTCTAAGGAAATCTTGGAGATATTTTTAATGCAGAGGTTTTAATCACCTGTAGTCCCTGGTGTGGCACTGCAGAATAAGCACTGAACTGCTAACTGCAAGGTCGTCAATTCAAACCCACCAGTCACTACTGGAAACCGTACACAGACTTGGAAACAGCTCAATGGCACAAAACAACAACTTTTTTTTTAACACAATAATGCATACCTCACATTCTCTTCCAACAAGAGATCCGGCTACTGAATGCTGAATCATCTTCAGAGTTCTTCTTGGGATAGGACTATTCTAAAAGTCAAATTAATTCATTACTTGGTTACTAAGTGTCTATATGAATTGTTACTGTCTTAGTTCTACTATAATTGAGGGGGACACAGCATACTAAAAATGCTTAATAGTTTGTCCAGCTACTTAATTTTATAATGTTATATATAATGAAGACATTAATGACACCAGCTTAATCAACTAGGAAACTTATTATTTCTCTAAAATGTTAATATAGTTTAAAAAAAATTTCTTAAGATTGTGTTACATAACCAAATCTGACAGAAATATGTAAATTTTTCTCCTCCCAATTCAACACATACTCTTGCTATAATATAACTTTGTCATCTAAAGATATCTTGTTGATCTAGTTAAGAAAAACAAAATTTCTAAGCTCTACTGAATCACTCAAAACATATGTAATGAAACTCCACTACAGCACTACACTTTTATAAAATCAAACATAGCATTGATGGTAGAAATCCACAAAAGAGATAAATGGGAGAGACAAAGTTAGCCATTTACACTACAAAATATACTTTTCCCCCTAAATCAAAAGGATGTTTCTCAATCCTGTATATTATATTCTCTAGTGCATTCATATGTATTCACAAAAAAATATGCAATTTTCAAGCCCATACTTTACATAAAAACAAACATACATGTGACATCCCCAAATAAAATAAAATAACCCACCACTAGCTTATAGAAGCAATTTTGCTTCAGGCCCATTCATTAGGGAACAGCTAAAAGTTCAGTGTTGACAGAATAATTAAAATACTCTAGTATGTGTTCAAGCTATTGTTTTTTGTTTTTTTTGGGGGGGGGTGGTGTGGAAATAATGCCTTCCTTGTAATATGTAAATATCTTCCTTTTATATTTCCTGATCTGAAAGCTCTATTTTTGTAAAAATCATTAGTTATACTGCCACCATGGGATAGCAAACAATGGTGAATACTCAAACAAGGGCTAGTAAGAATATGATACCAGACCAGCGTGAGAAAGTTACTGATTCCACACAGTACTTCTCATGACAAGAGTTCACCTTTCCCACGGTAATGTTTCTCCTGCTGATTATTATCTCACCATTTAACTTAAGAACAAATGCCAGCTACTGTGAGAACAAATATTATCCCAACATTTCAGATATAATTTAGATTACAGATTAGCCAACAGCCTCCAGACAAATAAAAGAAAATATAACTTTGGAATCTTAATAGAAGGTATTCATTTATTTAAATACTTGCTATTAGTAGTCCAAAAAAAGAAAAACAGCTAAATTATTGTCACTAAAAAAAGACAATTCCTAAGATTCAACTTTTATATACATGTAAACTTTACAACAGGTGCACGAGTGTTCCATACAATAAGCACTGGGCTGTGAACTACAAGGCACACGGTTCTAGCCTGCTAGCTACTCATTAGGAAAAAGATGAAGCGTTCTGCTCCAGCAAAGATTTAAAAGCTTTGTAAACCCTATACAGGGTCACTATAAGTTAGAACCAACTCCATGGCACATACAAACAACTAACTTCATAACATCTGGCCCTAAAAATGTAATTTGCTATATCATCATTTTCTTTATACAGATTATGGATATGAATAATACTCTTTAGAGTCAGAAAGATTCTTACATATTATTGGTTCATAAATTTTTGTAGGATAAGCATTAGACTGCAAGGTTGGTAGTTCAAATTCACCAGCTGCTCCTTGGAAACCCTAAGCAGAGTCACTATGAGTTAGAACCAACTCAATGTCACTAAGCAACATCAAATCTTTCTAAAAACAATTTGAGACTCCCAGAATTCTTTCCCCCAAAAGGCATTCTTACAAAATTTTGCACACAACTGATAAGGACTCTATGGACTTTAGATTAAAACTCACTCTTACAGATCTAGTTCTAGTCTAATTCCCTCATATTACAGATGAGAAAACTGAGGCTGAAATGCTATATAATGCACTCTAGGTCCTAGCTTTGGAGACAGAACCAAAACCAAACAGAACCAAGTATAACTAACTAATTAAATCATCATAAAAGTAAAAAGAATTAAATGATAATCTTACATACAGGAAACCCTACAGAATCCACTAAAACTATAAGAAGTAGTAAACAAATTCAAACGATTATAGACTATAAGATCAAGACAAACATCAGTTGTATAAAAACCCCAGCTGATTTCTGCAAAAATTGGCAGGCTGATCAAAAAAATCATATGGAATCCAAGAGACCCTGAATAGCCAACACAATCTAGAAAAAGAACAAAACAGGAGAACTCACATTTCCCAATTTGAAAACTTAACTACAAAACTACAGTAACCAATACAATATGATAGTAGCAAAAAATTAAATATGTAGCTAAGTGGAAAAGAGTTCAGAAATAAGCCTTTCTACTTATGGTTGACTGATTTTCAATAGGGATGCCAAGATGGTGGAACTTGTGGTTAGCTAGTATCTTAAATAAAAGCTACTTTAAGTCATATAATCACAAGTTCCTACATTAATATAATACATTACTGGTGACAACACCATCAACACTGGATAGCTTTTAGAAGTGGTACATAATTGGTTAGCAAAGAATAAAGTCCAATCATTGCAAACTCAGAGACCATATAAGACAGAGAACTGTCCCATATGGCTTCCAAGGCCACCAATCAATATGGAAGCAAGTTGTTATACCTCAACCACTGAGCACCCTACTGTTACACATTCTGACTCAAAATGTAGTTTCTCAAGGTTTATGGAAATTATAAACCAAATAAAATTTGGCTAACCCATGGCAAAATACTTCTAATCACATATGTCCATACAACAGATTAAAGTGACTCTATCACATACTTTTAAGGAGCTCTGGTAGTGTAGTGGTTACGAGTCGGGATGCTAATCTAAAGGTAAGCAGTTTGAAACTACCAGCCATTCTGCGGGAGAAAGGCTTTTTGCTCCCGTAAAGATTTACAGCCTCGGAAACCCTATACAGAGTCACTATGAGTCAGAACCAACTCCATGGCACACTACTACCACCACCATCACGTACCTTTAAATTCTCTTGAAGTCCTTCTTGCTTCTGCTTCGTACTGGGATTCATTATACAACTGGTGAAGGACAGAGACATATAACGTTGAAAATATTATATGGTTTGCACTAGAGGGTAAAGTCTGGATTTTTTGTTGAAAATACAATCCTAAAAATCACACTACTGTGTGGTGGAACTACTTACCTTTTCCCATGCTGCCCACAACCCTAAAGTTATTGACTCTTTATATTTCTATTTTACACAGACAAATGCAAACAATAATTCTGGATTCCCAACTTACAATGTATTCGAGTTACAACATATCACACTTTCAAATCATCTATGTTTTTGTACATTTTATCACTTAATGGACTTTGAAGAGAAAAAAAAACACTGAAAAAGAAAAAGCTGTCAAAAATTTTTACAACAAAAAGACAACTAGCTATTGTTGTCTCTAAAGTAAGTCAGAGATATCAGTTGTTTGAAAACATGGACCTAAATGCTGAGGGCTTAGATAGGCAGATTCAGAAAGCAGTGAAATGTCAGCAAGGAATAGGAGGGAGTTTTAAAGTTTGTGGAAAATGAAATGAAAAAAAATGAAATTTTTCCACAAACTTTTTTGAAGCCCCCTCTGTATATGAAGAAAATTAAGAGAAAGACCATACAAACAACCCTGACTAATTTTCTGACTATAAACACTATCCTCATTCCTAGGGATAATACAAATGATAGAGAACCTTTCATGAATGGAGTTCTGGGAAAATGCCAATGCCATCCAACTCTACATTGTTGTTGTTAGGTGCCATCGAGTCAGTATCGACTCATAGTGACCTTATGCACAGCAGAATGAAATGCTGCCTGATCCTGGGCCAACCTCACTACTGTTGCCACACTTGAGTCCATCAATAGTAAATTTTATGATATGTATTATTTATATATGTACGTACTAAAATATATCTGTAAATTTATATGTAATGTCTCCAAACCTCAAAGACAGATTGGATTTTAAGATACTGACAATAAAAGGTAAAAATGATGAAACCAAAACCCAAAATATGAGGTATTCTACTTACATCAGAATTTACTGACAATAGTCATAAATCAAAATTCTTAAAAAAAAAAAAAAAAAAGTGATGGCGTCCTAAATTAAATAAGCCACTTAAACATCTGTGAAACGGTCACCAAGAAAAGCAAACTACAGATACCTAGATTAATCTAAGTCCATCCTAAAGAAGAGCATCCTAACTTTGCTCTTCAATCCAAACCCAAACCTATACCTAGTACCAGCAATCCTATATAGGTTTTCTGAAACAACAAATCTTCACAGGAGCAGACAGCCAGTGGGACTTGAAAGGACAAATTTGCATTTAGCAGCCCAAGATTTAACCCACGGCACCACCAAGGCTCCTTTAAAGGCAGGTGAAAGCTTTCATAAACTCTGCACTGACAACCAGCAGTAATAATCAGGATTGTCATTCAGTCAAATGAGATTATGCACTTGCATTTGTAGGGAACTAAGAAGCTGAGGGGAGTCCACGTGTGGCTATAGGATACAGCACTGGACCGTAAGGTCGGTTTGAACCAAAAGGTCAGTGATTCAAGTAAACCAGCTGCTTCTTGGACACCCTATGCTGTGTCACTATGGGTCGGAACTGACTCGAAGGCGTTAACAATAAGAGACTTGAGGGAATCAAAGAGGGCACAGGAGGAAGGGGGTGAGTACTATGGGTAACCAGACCACCCTAACATAACATGGAACACTCGGGTCATGCCTGCGCCTCTTTGATAGAGCTCCCTGATACCTTTACCCAAACTGACTCTGGTGCACCCTATAAAGCATTTAACATCTGAAGAGGCTTTAAAAGTTTGTGGAAACATGCCAGTATCTTTTCATTACATTTTCCCATGAACTTTCTGAAGCCCCTCGTATACGCGCAAAGAAAAAATGATCAAGTGAGTCTAAGCCACCGTATGTTGACCACAATCCGGTCAGAAACTTTGACTCCTCACTTGTCTTGATTCTCGAAAGTATTTTTCCCTATCTTGTCTGTAAAAAATTTAAAACCTCAGCAGAGGTGATGGTTGCCTAACTTGATGAATGTAATTAATCAAGGTCAAAGAATTCAACACGTAAAAACTATCAAAACTGGCAAATGTAGTATCGTATATATTTTAACCACAATTTAAAATAGCACAGCACTTGAGCCCAAAGGGGACGCTGATAAACGTTAGAAATCAGTGCTGCTATTGTTAAGTGCCATCGAATCGGTTCCGACTCATAGTGACCCTGTATAGGGTTTCCGAGGAGCGGCTGGTGAGCTCGAACCGCCGATCCTTCGTCCGGGGCTTATCTTACAACAGCACACCAGGACCCAGGATTCAGCGACCTGCTCCTCGGAGCCCAGCTGGTGGCCCTGTTAGAACTCAGCGAGCTACTGAACTAATAAAAGCATGAATTCCGTCTCAGCCCTCGACAGGTACCCCCAGGATGACTCCCTCATACCAGCTGTACCCCAAATGTCCCCAACACCACCAGCTTGGCCTCCGGACACCAAAGAGGGCGGTGGTTCAGTCCAGCGCGCCAGAGTGCAGCAAACACGATGCGCGTTTCGGATGGCGCCTGCCAGCCAATAGGGAGCGCCGACGGAGAGCGCGCCAAAACCGACCCAACCAACCGGACGGCTGCTCGCCTCACCTCCCGCCCCCAACCTGGATCCCGCAACCTTTCAAATATTCCTTCATCTTCACCTTCACCCCTGCTCCAGCCTAGCCCCGGCCAGGTCCAGCAGCCGCCAAAGAAGATACCGGCTTCACACTGCCAGGAGTGAAAAGTGGTGGGGTTTTTTGGTTTTTTTTAAGGAGCTTCATGACATGCGTCCCTAGGTCCCCACTTCCTGCCATCTCTCGCACACTTACAAGACGGAGACTCTCAACTGTCGCAACGAACTCAGGTAACTGAGGCAGCGGCGCCTCTCACAAGGTCAAAACACAACCTATGTTCGATCCAACAGCCGCTGAAGTGATTGGCGCGCGCTGAGGTAGACGCTCACTAACTCGGTCTGGCAGCGCCTCCCGTCACGTGACATTGACGTAAGTATGTGGGCGGACCCTCCTAATTCCAGCAAATCACCTCACACCTCCGCCCGCCTTGACCACTCCCCTGCCTGCGCCTGCGCAGTAGGCGGGAGCTGGTATTAGATCTAGAATGGCGAGTGATTTGTGGTTGCTGAGGGAGTCGTTTGTATCTGTCCTTGCTCTGTGCTCCCGGAACTTCCTTTTCAGTGTGTAATACTTTTGCTTTTTGCAGTGAGAAAAAGATCTGCCTCCAGCCGACGTAAACACAGGGAGAACAATATATTATGCTTATATTGTACGACTTATATTTGTATAACTTACATTTGTGTAACTCCCTATTTTTAGTATGTCGTGATGCAATAGGAGTTACAAAAGACCTAATTTGGCCATCAATTAATCTTACAATTAATACATGTAAGCATTGTTCTTCGTGTTGGAAATACAATGCTGTTCTTAAGTGTCGGGAGTCTCGGACTCACAGCGATCCCGTATAGGGTTTCCAAGGAGTGGCTGGTGAGTTTGAACTGCCGTCCTTGAGGTTCAAACCGATTTTGTAGTCCAGTGCTTTTTCCCACAGCGCCACACCCGACATTGTAATTTCAAGGAACAGTAACCTTAGTAATAATTACACCTACTTTTTTTTTTTTTTCTCCTGTAAAATTCTCAACTTTTCTTTTGGAAACAGCACCTTTGGACTCTGGCTCTAACCAGAACTTTTGTTTACATTTACTATAAATAGTGGCGCAAATGGTTAAGGTGCCTCAGAAGAAAAGCCTAGCAACCTTCCGGAAAGCCAGCCATTGAAAACTACGGAGCACAGTTCTACTCAGACACATAAGAGTTCATCATGATTGGGAGTCCATTTAGGGCAACTGGTTACCACAGGTGCTGTTTGTTGATTCTTGTTCATCATTCCTTTTCCAAGTGACCCTATAGAACAGAGTTGTTAAATGCCATTGAGTCGGTTCCAACTCATAGCTACCCTGTTTAGGGTTTCGGAGGAATAGCTGGTAAGTTTGAACCTCCAACCTTGGTGTTTAAACCTCCCTTGAGGTCGAGTGCTTATCCTATACCGCCACACCAAGACTCCATAGGACAGAGTAGAACTGCCCCATAAAGTTTCCTAGGATCCTCATGTGGCGCTGTAGGATCATCACTGGACTGAACTACAAGGTCCTTGATTCAAATCCACCAGCTGCTCCTTGGAAACTGTATGTCGACACTTATCAACAACAACAACAACGGATCTTTACGGGAAGTCAGACCTGGTCCCCACTTGGTTTAAACAGTTGGCGGCACTGTGAGCTGGATTCATTGCAATGGCTTCAGACCTATGTAATTACGAGGTTTTGTAAGAGAAAGAATGAAAGGGACTGGGATAAAATACTTCAGCAGGGAGAGCTGCAGCTTCTGGAGTTGCCTGGCGCCTGTGTCATGCTGGATCCAAACGATAGCTGATATTTTAGCCTCAGGGCCTATTGGAATCCACCCTGCCAGAGACACCCAAGACCATATGCATATGAAAAAAATTAGTCCAAAGAAGAAAAGATTGAACTTTAGTGCTTTAAAAGATTTATGTGTTTGACTGCCTTATGGATATTGTTTTTTCCTGCCTGTTATAAAATAGATATACGTGTGTGATAGAAATGAAAAATGGGATTTATGATTACAGAGAGCTTGTAAGTCCGCCCTCAGCCTATATTTGATTGGATTTGCTAAAAGGGGAGTTCGAATTTACCTGGAAATTCTGTTAGAATTACAGTTAGAAATTACCTGGAAATGCTTTAAGCCTTTGTAGAATGTGGGGCTTTAGATGGAATGCTGAGCCCCACCCAGAACCTTCAGAGTTGGTACATTCACATTTGAAAAGACATGCAGAACAATCCAGAGCTTCTGGGAGACAGGAAATTCAAGCAGAGATAAAAATCCTATAATTTGGCATTTTGTGTTTTGGGGGCATCAAGGCAAGGAAATTTGGGCCTTCAGAGAAAACCTCC